TAGCCTGGCACAGGCTTTTGAAACCTCAAAGCCCACCCCTAGTGACACACTTCCTCCAAGGCCATATATCCTAATCCTTTTAATCCTTTCAAATAGTGTCACTTCCTGGTGACTAAGCATTCTAATACATGAGCCTATGGAGGCCATTACTATTCAAACCACCATGAAGGGGAAATGACTAGATATGCAATTGTTTGCTGATTAATGGTCTATAGCCAATGGATTGGGTAGAATAGTCAGGGACTTAGAAAGAGCAAGATTAGAAAATTGGTGAGGAAGACATTTGGAGAAGTAAGTATTTGGATACACCTCTCCCAATGGGTAAAGAATGTGAAGATACTTTTGTCCCATGTAAGTGATCATTAAAAGGTTACTTCAACAGAGGAGTTCAGTAGTCAAATAGATAGCATGGCCAATTCTCTGACAGTCGGCCTCTTTCCCCAGCTGTCTCTGCCATTGCCCAATGGTCCCATGAATAAAGTGGCCATGGTGACAGAGGTGGAAGTGATACATGCATGGGCCTGACAAGATAGATTTCCTAAGGCTGACCTGGCAATGGCTGCTGCTGAGTGCCAGATCTACTGGCAGCAGAGACCAACACTGAGCTCCCAATATGGCACCATTCCCAGGGATGACAAGCTAGTGACCTAGTGGCAGATTGACTACATTGAGACACTTCCTTCATGGGAAGGGAAACACTTTGTCCTTAGAGGAATAGATACTTACTCTGTTTATGGATTTGCCTTTCTTACACATAATGCTTCTGCCTAAACTACCATCTGTGGACTTAGAGAATGCTTTATTCACCATCGTGGTATTCCACATACCATTGCTTCTTGTCAAGGAACTCACTTCATAGCTAGAGAAGCACTGTGGTGGACCCATGCTCATGGAATACACTAGTCTTACCATGTTACCCATCACGAAGTAGCTAACTTGATAGAATGGTGGCATGGTCTTTTGAAGACACAGTTACAGTGCCAGTTAGGTGGCAGTAGCCTGGGGGGCTGGGTTGGGGTTCTCCAGAAGGCAGCATATGCTTAGAATCAGTGTCTAGGAAACAGGAATTAGTCCACTCACCATCATCCCTAGTGGCCCACAGTTTTGCTTCCTGTTCCATGGCCTTAAGTTCTCCTGGCTAGAAATTTTGGTTCCAGATGGGGGAGCTCTCCTGTCAGGAAACACAACAAATATTCCATTGAACTGGAAGCTCAGACTTCCTTCTGGCCATTTTGGGCTTCTGATGCCCTTAAGCCAACAAGATAAGAAAGAAATAACAGTGTTAGATGGTGTGATTGATCCAGACTACCAAGAAGAATTTGAATTGCTTCTCCACAATGGAGGTAGGAGGATTATATCTGCTGTACAGGAGATCTGTTAGGGCATCTCTTGGTGCTACTGTGTCCTGTGATTCAAATCAATGGGAAACTACAATAACCCAACCCAGGCAGGATGACAAAAGGCCCCACCCTTTCAGGAATGAAGGTATGGGTCACTCCTCCAGGAAAAGAGCCAGGAACTGCTAAGGTGCTTGCTGAGGGTGGAGAAATGCAGAATGGGTAGTAGAGGAAGGTAGGAATAAATACCAGCTAAGGCCATGTGGCCAGTTATAGAAATAAAGTTTGTAACTGACTTTAGTATTTCTGTCCTATTTTGTTAAGAATGTGTTTGTGCATATACACATATATGAAGCAGGTATTTGTGTTTTCTTTTCCATTTTCATGTCATATAACATCATTTGAGATAGTATTAGTAGTAATTATCATGCCCAAGTTATAGGACACTAAAACTAACCATTCCTCAAAAGACATTACCACCTATTCTAAAATATATAATGCATTGACGACAGTGTGAGGGGAGGGGATGAAGTCCTGAAGGGATGTGCCTTGTTGACATGAACACGCCCATGTCAACGATACCAGTTCCTTAGACCCATGCGAACGGCAAAGCCTTCCCCTGGTCCAACTATGGATGTTGACAGATAGTTGGCCGATAGCTAAAACGAGTGTGTATAGAAATTACCAGCTGCGGCTTCCTCCTGCCCGTGACTGCAACCAGAGACTGCTCCCCTATAGAAACCTCCTACCAAGAGTAGCGAGCCCCTCCCATTTGTGTCAGACACAATCAATGACCTGAGTTTCAGGGCTGCTGCTGGGGCATCTGCATCAGAGCACACGGCCCCCTCAGTCCCAGCCTCTCCTGTAGGTGTACATGTCGTTTTCTCATCCCCTGTCACCCCAGCTAGGCCACGCATGTTGTGGCATATGTGAGGTAGTTGTATCATGCTCAGTGAAATTGTGGTCTGATTATTATTTTCATTTGCAAGTTAAGCATGACACAAAGAAGTGATTGCGTGTCGAGTTGAAAAGGGGTGGATTTGCGATGCTAATCTGGGTTGTCAACTCGACTACATCTAGAATCAACTAAAACCCAAGCAGCTGGGCACACCCCTGAGGGATTTTCCTGACTGGGTCATTTGAGGTGGGAATACCCACTCTAAATGGGCCACACCTTCTGGTGGCAGCCCACATAAAGACACGGAAGAAGGAAGCTTTTACTTTTTGCCTGCTTGTCCTTACTCTTGTTGGCAGATACATCTATCTTATTGCTCAGGCATTCCTTTCCTGGTATTAGAACCTGCTTCTTCAGGATTCCAATGTAGACAGAAAGAAGACCAGCAGCTCTTAGGAATCCTTTGGGACTCAGCACGAGATTGGGGCTGAC